AACATAGAGGCAAGAAAAGCCTGCTCCTGTGAGAAGCAAAATAGTATATGCAGCAGCATATAAAAAAGTATCCTCAACACTCTTGGGTGAATAGGGGGGATTGAGTGTCCTTACCTGTGTTATATATATGCCTTTATACAGGGGGTGAGGATGATGTATAGCATGGAGATCATTAAAAAAACCAGGGGGGTATATATATAAAAGGAATCAGCTCATTTTCGGCAACCCGTTTGATAAATTTATGTACACTTTGATCTTGGACGAGATAAGCAAAACGGACAACAAAAAAGAGCAACATCGTCATGTCGTAAAAACGCTTATATTTTTGTAAAAGCGTGCATACTGCCGTGGTTGAGGCTGCCACAAAATTAAGTACAATGCTCTCTCTATATGAGCGTAGCCCAAAAAAAAAAAAAATAAAATACATGGCGCGGACGGGCGGCGGGGCCATTTTGTGTTCACGTATGAGCACCTAAAAAAGCATACATTAAATTAGCCCCTAGGCTTCGCGGTCGGCTCACGAAAACAAATACACGCATGTAGTTATATATATACATATATATAGTGCATACGCTGGCGATGGGGACTTGTGCCTTGGGGCAAGGGCACATGGGCACAAGCAATATATATAAAAAAAGACTATGCCCCATATAAATACAATACCTGGTAACATGTAGCTTTATATATAAACACTAAAATAGTAGGGCATTACTTTATATATATATATATATATAGATAGATAGATAGATATGCGCATGTACAAAAGAGCACCAACGGGACGGGGCCAAATATGGCCCCGCGGCACCGTGCTTCTGTTTTCCCATTGGTGGCTTGCCGCACCTTCACAAATTTCGAAAAGTAACGAAATTTAGTTCCCTGAATTTTGAACAGAAAATATGCAAAAAAATGAAGCTGAAATAATTTTTTTTTTTTTTTTTGTAAAAGTGATTTTACAAAACATTTTTATAAACATTTTTTTTTTTTTTTTTTTATTTTGCAAAAAAAGAAAAACAAAAAACAAAACAAAATTCACAAGTAATTTTTATATCATATATACATATATCAATATTATGTACAGAAAAAAAGTTTAAGAACAATTGAGGCATTATTCCCATTTTTGCGGAATTGTAAAAAATATATCGTTTTTTTTTTATTCTCCTTCTATATTATATTAAAATATAATATAATTGTTTTTTTCATTCCTTTGCGTTTTTTTCCTCGTTGTTCTGTGTATTCACATCTTGTGGTAACAAAAAAAAAAGAATAAGAAACTTTTCTGCAAAATTTTTTACGCTCGAGAAGAACCAAGCGCAGCGTATGCTTTTTTTTTTTTTTTCCCTAACCACTGCTTGTTGTTGCTTCCCTTTTTGTTCGCAAGAAGAATTGGAAAAACACTGCATACTGCTACGGTGACATTTTAAGCACTCTGTACTTTTACATTAAACCTGCTTTTACCGTTAACGGAAGAGCGTTAAGAACAATATATATACCCCCTAAACCCAAACTCCCTGTTTTTCGGAATTTTTTTACCTTTCTCCCTCTCTTGAGATCTCAAAAATGGCAAGCGGAAAAGCAGCTAAGCCAAACCTCCCCGAATCGAACATCGCCATCGGTATTGACCTTGGTACCACATACTCCTGCGTCGGGGTATGGAGAAATGAAAATGTAGATATCATTGCCAATGACCAGGGAAACAGAACCACTCCATCCTATGTTGCCTTCACTGACACAGAGAGACTAATCGGAGATGCCGCTAAGAACCAAGTGGCAAGGAACCCCGAAAACACTGTTTTTGATGCGAAGAGATTAATTGGAAGGAAGTTCACTGAATCATCTGTCCAGAGTGATATGAAGCACTGGCCCTTTACGGTCAAATCCGGTGTTGATGAGAAGCCCATGATTGAGGTATGCTATCAAGGAGAGAAGAAATTATTTCACCCAGAAGAAATCTCTTCCATGGTTTTGCAAAAGATGAAAGAAAATGCAGAAGCGTTTTTAGGAAAGTCCATTAAAAATGCAGTCATCACCGTGCCAGCTTATTTTAATGATTCACAAAGACAAGCCACCAAGGATGCAGGTACCATTGCTGGTTTGAATGTCATGAGAATTATTAATGAGCCAACTGCTGCTGCTATTGCTTACGGTCTGCACAAAAAAGGAAAGGGTGAAAAGAACATTCTGATCTTCGATCTTGGAGGAGGAACTTTTGATGTATCTCTCTTAACTATTGAAGATGGTATTTTTGAAGTAAAGGCTACAGCTGGAGACACGCACTTGGGAGGAGAAGATTTTGATAACAGATTGGTGAACTTTTGTGTTGAAGACTTTAAAAGAAAAAATAGAGGAAAGGATTTATCTAAGAATAGCAGAGCTTTAAGAAGATTACGAACTCAGTGTGAAAGAGCCAAGCGTACTTTATCCTCCTCCACACAAGCCACCATCGAAATTGATTCCCTTTTTGAAGGTATCGACTACAGCGTGACAGTAAGCAGAGCCAGATTTGAGGAACTATGTATTGATTATTTCCGTGACACTTTAATTCCTGTTGAGAAGGTGTTGAAAGATGCAATGATGGACAAGAAGAGCGTCCACGAAGTTGTCCTTGTTGGTGGTTCCACAAGAATTCCCAAAATTCAAACACTCATTAAGGAGTTCTTTAATGGAAAGGAAGCTTGCAGATCGATCAACCCTGATGAAGCCGTTGCTTATGGTGCAGCCGTACAAGCAGCCATTTTATCTGGTGACCAATCCAATGCTGTGCAAGACTTGTTGCTATTAGATGTGTGTTCCTTATCTCTCGGTCTCGAAACCGCAGGAGGTGTCATGACCAAGCTGATTGAGAGAAATACCACCATCCCAGCAAAGAAAAGTCAAATCTTTACCACTTATGCTGATAACCAACCAGGAGTGTTGATCCAAGTGTATGAAGGAGAAAGAGCCCTAACTAAGGATAATAACTTATTGGGTAAATTTCACTTAGACGGTATCCCACCAGCTCCAAGAAAAGTACCACAAATTGAGGTCACTTTTGACATTGATGCTAATGGTATCCTTAACGTCACTGCTGTTGAAAAATCTACAGGCAAACAGAATCATATCACCATTACCAATGATAAGGGAAGATTGTCTCCAGAAGAAATTGATCGTATGGTGAACGACGCTGAGAAGTACAAAGCAGAGGATGAAGAAAACAAAAACAGAATTGAAGCCAGAAACAGCCTTGAAAACTACTGCTACGGTGTGAAGAGCTCTTTGGAAGACCAGAAAATAAAAGAAAAATTACAGGCATCTGAAATTGAAACTTGCATGAAGAGTATCACTACTATTTTGGAGTGGTTAGAGAAAAACCAATTGGCTAGCAAAGAAGAATATGAGTCGAAACAGAAGGAAGCTGAATCAGTTTGTGCTCCCATCATGTCCAAGATATATCAGGATGTTGGAGGTGCAGCTGGCGGAATGCCCGGTGGAATGCCTGGTGGAATGCCCGGAGGTATGCCAGGAGGAGGAATGCCAGGTGGCATGAATTTCCCAGGTGGCATGCCAGGAGGCGGAATGCCCGGAGGTGCTCCTGCTGGAAGTGGACCCACCGTAGAGGAAGTCGATTGAACAGGGGCTGCTTAATCCAAAGCAATCACCACAAAAACATCGCTGCTGAACACACTGTGGGCTGATATATATATATATATGTATATATTGTCCCAGTTGGGTGAAGAAAAAAAAAGGGGATAAATTAATAATATGCGCCGCCTCTCTTATATGGGGGTCTTTTTACAAAGTGCAGTTCGCTTTTTCCCCCGCGAAGAAAAAGATAAGAGGAGAAGGAGCTTCCTTTCCTTAGGGCGCACCTCCCATGTATGGAAGAGTGTATATACACACACAGAAAAGCACCATGTGCGTGTGGTCCATGCGATCCTTTTGAACGCGCGTCTGGTGGGTTTTAACACGTGTGTCCAACAACTGAGTCACATTTTCCCCCCCAAAAAAAAAAAATATATATATATATAAAAAAAAAATAAAAAAAAAAAACAATAATTAATCGTTATATATTTTATCATAATTTATCGCGATTCATCATTAACTGTGTTAATATGTACGTGCGCTTGTTCGTACGTATAAGGACCACGCATGCGTTGTAAATTTATGTAACTTTCTTTTTTTTTCTGTAAATGAAGGAGCTATATATACATACATGTGCATGTGAATGCTGATGAGGATACTTTTTATAACGAATCGTGCGAATCAGTTCAGATGTATATATTTTTTTTTTTTTTTTAAAGCACAGAAAGAGTAGCAAACACGACAAGAAATTTATGTGATAAAAATTATAGTTACATTGGATTCTGTATTGGCTAGTGGCGATTCTATGGTAAGCCGCTGCGCCCTGTGCACTTTTTATATGTGCCAAGTATGTTGGATGGTCAAATCTGTTGCCCCCATTTGGGTAACATAAAGAAAAATAGGTTCTCAAAGGAAAGCATTTCGACAGGGGGCCACGCTGGGTGGAGTGTACTATATACACCACGTTGGAAAGTGTCTCACGCTCCACGTCCAGATTGTCCCCTTGTAGCCGCTCCAAAGCGTATATCGCGCAGGACGCGTCAAGTGGTACATCCCACTTACACCAAGTACTATTTTAATGGTCTTCCGTGAAATGTGTGCTCTCCGTGTGGACCCTATTGTGATCAAACACGAGTGGAGCAATTTTCAAAGCAAAAGGTAGTTTAAAATGGAGGAGAGGGCATATGGTTTCCAAAAGGAAAAAGCTCATTTAGCGCACACACGTCATGCATACCTTTTTAAGGATGCCTTGCATGTAGTGCACATACGCAATGTTAAAAGTTAGTTGGGGGAAGAGAAGAAAAAAAAAAAAACTTTTAAGGGAACAATAAACACATGTTCACACCATTTTAAAACAAACAAAAAAAAAGGGGGACATTGAAAAGGCACTATACTCAATACGACAATACGCATGTTATAAACGTAGAGAATTCGTGCTCCTCTCATATAGAAACATGATTGTACATGTCCTTCAAAACATTTCGAAGAAGGTAGAATGACGGATCGAGGGAACTTTGAACTTTCCAAACGATGTTCCTTTTTGTTCTCTGGACCATCGTCTGACCGGTCGGTCCTCGCGTGGCTATGTCCCGTTCTTCCTTCTTAACACATGTCTTTCCGTCAATTATAATTTGATTTTCTTGCGTAAAGTTTAAGCATCTTTGAAATGTGCTACTTATAGCTTGGGATAAATTTTTCATGTTTACTTCACCGATGTAGACACTACCACTGGGGACGTGTTCTTCATTTGTGTTGTCTGCACTCGAGAGCATATCTCGCATTTCTGACGAAGCATCAGACTCGTCCGATGAGTCGCCTGCACAATTTGGATCGTCTTCCCCCTGTGTTGCTCCTTCGCTAGCTGCCTCGTCATCTATGTAGTAATCCAAAAAGGGTTTCTTCTCATTCGACTTTTCCTTACTTTCACTTTGGCTTGTTTCCTTGGGGGCACTTTGTTCCCCCTGATTTTGACTTTCCTTTTCTTCCTTTGTATGTTTTTCCCCTTCCTGCGTCTCTTCATTTTGGTTGTCTAGGGCAACGGAGTAGTTCGCCTCACTGAATTCGCTCCAGAAAGTGCTGTGTTCGTTGATGAACCGTTTTCGCCTGCATTGGGAGGGGGGAAGCAAAATAAGAGAGAACCGTTTTACGTAAAAAAATGGCTATACTAAACATTTTAGTGTTAGCGCATGCACCTCTGTTAACAAGATACAGGTGCAGTAGCACTTCGAACCCCTGTGGCACTCTCTCCTTTGCGCGCAGCGCTTTGGGGGCATTTACCTTCTGGTGCATAGCTGCGAACTGGGTTCGCCCTGTGTGGAATTTAGGGTTGCCTTAATTTTAAAAACGTTCAACTGCCTATCCGTAACCTTGGTCGTGTTGATCATCGTGTAAATACTTTTAATACGCACATTCTCGTAATGAACACTTAGAGGAATGCTAACCGAGTCGAGAGTCTTTCTTTCACTGGAGCAAAAGTAGCGATTCAAATAAATACTCCTCTTATTTGTACTGCTTGAACAATTGGGGACATAAAAACTGTGCAACTTTATTTCCTCCATGGATTGTATTGTTGAGTGTAGTAACATTTCGAAATGGAAAGAAAAGAAACTATTGCAGCTTGGAAGGAGCACAAAATTTTGGGGCTTCATCAGATGTATTATAGTGTTAAGGGAATTTTGGTTAATATAGTTTTCTATGTTAAATGTTCTTATGGAGCAATCTACCGGAAGGGAGACTTTTTCTTCTTGGACAGTAGTTGGAATGGTTTTTAAATATTTGATTAATTTTTTTTTCCAGGTCATTTTCGGCGTTTCCGATGAATGATTATTTTCTTCGTAAGTCTTATCTAACATGTTGTTCCCCTTTCTAGTCCTTTTTTCTCCACTTCGCTTTTTCTTCTTTTCTTGGTAGTAATCTGATATTTGTATCGTTTGGTAATTTCTCTTTCGCTCATCGTTTGCAACACTGCTTTCTTCGTTATTTTGTTCAAAATCATCCTCATCATTTTCCCTTGTAAATATTTCTTCATTTTTTACAAATGCTGTGCTCATACTTTTCTGATCTCTCTCTTTTGAAAATGGATGTCTCATGGTATAACTTTCATGTCCATACATATCATCCTCATCACTGGTTTTAGGTTCTGTTTTTATTCTTACTTTTTTTTTGTGTGTGTGCGTGTCCTTGTTATCATTACCAATTTTGTTTAGATGCGGATAGTACGTGTTGTCTGCATCATCCGACTGTTCATTTTTTAGGAGGTGATTGGACAATTTCGAATATTCATTGTCGCTTATTCTTTCCTCTTTTACTCTGATTTTTCCCGTTCGTGTTTTTCCTCTGGAGGATTCCATTCCGTCCTGTGAATATTCATCATCGCGGTCGCTACGGTAAGCACCTTCATATTTGTCCCTCTTGTGGTTAGCGCTTGGCTTCCCACTTCTGCCCTTCTCCGTGGCACTATCACTGGCATTGCTGTCGCTATGGTTGTACAGCTTGTTGGGGAATTTGAGATCTCCTTCCGCGCCTTCTTGTTCTTCCTCCTCATCTGAATGGTAATACGCGTTGTAGTTCTGCGGATCGTGTGGGGCGTCGTCCTCTTCCTCCCCTTCATCATCCTCATCATCGTCATCTTCATCATCGTCATCCTCATCATCATCTTCATCATCCTCATCGTCATCATCCTCATCATCATCGTCGTCGTTATCATCCTCTTCTTGTTCTTCATCGTCATAGTCATCATCATCGTCGTCATCCACCTCTTCATCATCGTCGTCTGCCTCGTTGCCTTCCTCTGTGTAGGCGCCAAGGCTTCTCTCCCGTTTGTACTTCTCCTTTTTTATAAATTGTTCACCCTTAGTGCCCTCCCGCTTCAGCTTATCCATTCCATCTCTGTCTGTCTTCCCGATTAAGTGAGCCTCCCCCTTTTTTATATACAGCATCTCTTCTTGTGACTCGAAAATGAATTTTGATTTTTTTTTTTTTTTTTTTTCTCATGCTCTTCTTCTTAGTCTTCTTAACATTTTTACCAACAGCTTTGCTAAGCATGGCGTCTTTCTCGATGTTATTTTTTTCTTTTAAATAAATTTCATATAATTTTTCGTCGTCGATTTTTACATTTTGGCTGTAGCAAAAAGATAGCTCTGCTTTGCTCTTTTGATCCTTATGGGTAAAATAATGATTACACACTTTGTGCGCAAAGCTCGGAGCATAGTATCTCTTGGTGAATATTAATGCGTTTTTTTTCCTGGTGAGGAACGTTGACAGAATCTGCTTCACCGTGTCGTTGTTCAGAGAAGCCGGGAAGGAAAACAAAATGTAATATCCATTTTCGTATTTTTTAAAATCGCTGTAGTTGTTTATACACACCACGTTCTTCATTTTTAAAATATTTATTCTGTTTCTGTGGAAATTACTTTTTATGTGGCTGTTCAGGTAGGTCAGCGACGCGAACAGCAGTCTTGTGAAGTTTTCCCTGGGGGGGTAAAAAGTGCATGGGGGAGAAGTGGAAGATGTACAAGTAGGTGCGTCAGAGAGCAATTTAGGGCGATAATACCCCCTTGTTAACAGTTAGCAATTCTTTCGTGGCTTTTCTTACGCATAGGGACAGAGGAACAACAGGACGTATCTCTGCATGCTGACCTCCAGGAGGGCGTTGATGTGGAACAGGAGATCCAGGAAAACGCCTGCAAGGGAGGGGAATTCCAGTTGGCAATAAATGGGGGCATAAATATAAATGGGTGCACATGGACGACCCGTCCGGACACAAAAGGGGAGGTAGGCTCCTCTACAACCCGTGGATGCGGCAGCATTGTGCCCAAACGACTTGCTATTATTCCTCCTCTCAAAGATGATCCCCCTCTGCTCCTTGTGCAATTTGTAATGCTTACTGTCAATATCCACAGGGAGAAGTACACATCCCAGGTTGTTCATAGTCCTGTTGACGATGCCCAGGATATTCTTCATGTCTACCATCTTTGTGTAATTTTTATTTGTGTAGCGAAAATTGCCAATGTAAGTGAACACATTGGACTGTTGTAGGATCTCCGATTTTTCAATAAAGGTATAATCAGACATTTGGGAATTCACAGAGTACAATATTTTGGAATTAAAAAATTTTATAATCACTGCGGAAGATCCTATGTTGTCTCCATTATTTATAAAATATATGGGAAGCATACAAACTGTTTTTTTTTTTGGACATATGATTTTTTTACAGGTGTAGTGTTCTCTGAACTCCAACGCAGTTACATTGCAGAACAGCTCGTTCACGATTTTGAAATATTCATCATCTTTAAAAGATTTTAAAAAATTGCAACTGTTCGTACATTTGAAGTAACTCAGGAGAATATACTTGCTGTACGACTTGACGTATTCGTGACATATGATTGGGATTTTCCTCTTTCTCTTCTGTAGTTCCTGGAACACCAGTGGTGCGCACCCCACGAAGCTGAGGCCGTGGTTTGTGATTACCAAGACGTCTACATATTCGCACACCCTACAGGCGGAGTAAAAAAAAAAAAAAGAAAGAAATATTGCAAAAACAATTCAATCACATGGTGGTATAATATTGCTCGACGTGGATTGACCAGCATCCACACTGCACCTCCACGTAAGAGCGGGATATGTGAACACACTTGTATGATTCTTCAACGCACGTGCATCCGCTCCCTCCTTACTGTAACACATTCTTCACATCCTCCGTGCAGAACTGATCATCCCATCCGCAATTTATAAGGACATAAATATTTTTATCTTTGTCCTTTGCGTAAAAATCCTTCTTGTTGTTTAGGTAGTCATAATTATAGGTCTTCCTCAAAAGAGGGTCCCCTTGATCCTTGCCCGTTGCATCACCGTTGGGGGCACATTGCTCTTCCATGGGTTGTTGTTCAGCGTCCTCTTCAATTCCCTCCCCGCTCGGTTCTCCACTCATCATTTCTTCCTTATCTCCATCCTGCAAAAGCGCACTCAACTTGCAACCCTTGTTGGAACCATCCAGGTCTTTAATTATCAGCAGTGTGCTGTAAAACTTGTGACTGTATAGGGGGACGACCTCCAAAATCATTTTTGCCAATCGGGAGCCAACCTATCTTCGATCATGCGCATAAACCGTTTGACGTAATTTTCCTTCTTTGCTTTACGTATGGGGCCTATAATTTGCTTGCTCGCTTCTTTGGGATGTTCAGCTAATCGGTTCAAGAACAATGACCATTTTTTGTTTTTTTTTCCTGTTCTGTTTTATAGGGGTGACATATGATACGTTGGCCACGGAAAAGCCGTTTCAGCAGCGTGCGTTTATCTGTGCTCTCCTAATCTCACATGTGTGAAAGGTCTCCCCCAACAGCGTAGGGAGCAGTGCGCACTTTTTATAATGCCAAACCGTGCTCATTCAGTAGGCCCTCATGAGACAGTCCTTTGTGTTCTTCTTCCTTTTCGGTGGAGACGCGTGTCACATGTACAAAACCATCCCCGCATTGATATGTTGTGGCTTGTGTTGAACACGATCACCATCCGAATGGGGACGGAACAGGCATGCGAAAAATAAAAAGCTACAAAAAGAAGGCAAAAAGAGGAAAAACCATATTTACTGAACATATCGTCCTTCAGGGCGAACCTTATTTCCTGAAAAATTCGTCACACGTATGCGCCACTTCAAAATTGGTGCTTTGCGAACACGTATAGAAAGAATGCGTGCTTCTGTGCTACTCTGTTTTTTTTTTTTTTTTTTCTTAAAATAGGCATATGCTACATTGCACGCGTTGTGCCTATACACGGTGCCGTTTTGTTTTTATTACGTGGCCATCCAGTTTGCGCAACAATATTTTTATACGCGGAGAACGAAGGACAAAAAACACAAAACAAAAATTGCCCACATGGTAAGCTTATATAAGAACTTTTAGTGTTGCATAGAAGCGCAAATTTTTAATTCTCTCATAAAAAAAGTGTTCGCGCGAAAGGAAAAATAACATGCCTCTTTTCTGCGCATATTCTTTATAGTTCTTTCTTCCTTTGCAAAGTGGCAATTTTGCAGCAAACAATACATGTAAAACCGTTTTTTTATTATAAAACAACTGCTAATTTGTGAAGTTTTCTTTTTTTTTTTTTTGGTTCTATCAATGAGATGAACTCCTGGCGCAAGAACCATTTGAGCTAATGCTCCTCATAGCCATCAAGTGTAGTGCGAGTGCGACCTACAACCCACTGCTACATGACGTGGAAAATACGCATAACAGTTATGCACAAATATAGAGGTACCTGTCCGCATGAGACGCCTTCGCATACGGTACTATACTTCCGTCCGAGGGTACCCACACAGCATAAAAAGTAAATCACGCACAATAGAAACCAACAACAATGGTGATGGCCAAAAAAGGGAAGAACTTTAAAAGGGGGATTAAAAAAGAAGGCAGTAAACACGCAAAAACAAAGGAGAGTAAACCAAAGACTGCAAAGCAACATGAAGAAGAAATTGTCCAAAAAACAAACATAATTGCAATTAAGAAGAGTGGAATGAACTCCGTTTTCAAATCGCTATGTCGAGATTTAGCTGAAGTGTTTTCCCCCTATTCTGTAACTTTATACATAAACAAATTAAAAAATTTAACCGAGTTGAAGAAAAAACTTAAGGAGTTATCCTATAAATATACAATTAGCATACACATAAGCAACCAAAAATTGATGTATAATATTACAAGCAATTATACTAAGTTGACATTAACATTTATCATTAAGAGTTTCACCAATGCATCAGTGGTTAGGTCTAAAAGTGCCAAATTTGCTTTTCACAATTTTAGCAAATTTAAGCCTTTACTCATTTTGAAAAACTTCAATAAATGTGCAAATCCTGAGATGCTAAATTATTTAATCATTATACAAAATATACTGAAAAATATGTTCCCCAATATAAATCTCAGAGCGGATGGCGCTCACAAACCTAAGAGAGTCATACTATACAGCTACAACAGCGCCGATGAAACTATCTATTTTCGCCAGTATGTGACAAATTTAAGACAAAAATCGGTTAAGGAAATAATAAATGAGGCATACCGAAATGATGACCTGGGGGAGTATAACAACATGTACAATTTTTTATCCAAACGAATGGACCTGAATAGTGCTAAAAAGGAGGAAGAAAACGAAATGGTGGAAGTAGGACCACGCGTTAGCTTCAAGATTTTTAAAATTGACGATCAGGACAAAGGTACGCAACACATTTGATGCATTAACATGGAGAGCACAGTTGGTGCTTCGAGAGAAAACGTCAAATTTAAGCCCTGCGTGTAAGCTGTTTACCCACAACGAGGGGTGCCAAAGACGTACACACTTTATTGTACCTCTGTGTTGGCAAATATGTGCATAAAGTACATAGATTGCGAAGTGTAAAATGTTTGTTGTTTCCCCTTTCTTTTTTGCAGTTATATACTCCATGACAAATCAGACGTGATCCTGTAGGTGTCAAGAAAATGGAGCTTCCCATTTTGCGCAACCTACCCCTGAATGATTTTGTAGACCATTGAAGACTTTACTCTGCGCGTATGCATAATGTAGCGCGCCAATTTGCGATTTGAGGGATGTAGCCGTGTAAGCTACCTTTCCGCAGTGTTTTGTACTGTTTTTTTTTTTTTTTTTTTTAACATTATGACACGTGTGCCTGACCCGTTCAGGCGTTTAACAATTGGTTGTAAAAAATATTCCAGATTATATCCCTTAAAATGGCTAGTTGGAAATTTTTTTTTTTTTTTTTATGCTTTAGTTTCCCTATTTTGGCTAGCTAGGGGAAAAAAAAAAAAAAAATAATAGAAAAAATGGGAAACAGAGAAACAATATGCACATGTAAGAACTCACTTATGTGTTCAAGAAGATATGAATGGTTACATCAGTACATGTAGACAATTTTGTACACGCCACGTGGCCACAAATCATATGCGATGTTGTTGCCCATTTCATCATGTTGTTTTTCCATTTGTTATATGCCACCCGTGGCATTATTTTTTTTTTTTTCGTATGATGTCGTTATGCAACCCTTTAATTTTTCTCACACATTTTACATATGTTATGTGCATAGTTAATACGCATGAGTTTTTTTTGTGTTGTTGTCCCGTGAACACCCCCACTTTATCTTTAAACAGCTGAAATTGACACTGCTATCAGTGTAAACCCATTTGGTTGTCAAAACAAGACGAGGGCATGTACCGCCTGCAACTGGTCGAAGTAACAACTGTCAAGTTGTGCCGTCATATCGTGTCGCATATTTCAAACTATGAGCTGCCTTTTGCGAGTTGGTTTGCTCATAAATTGGACAATATAAGCCGTTTCTTAAAAAATAGAAGGTGTCGGAAAAAGACGTTTTGTGTGCATCGGTTAGCCCACACCTTATTTTTATTTTGAACCTTCGTGCCCGTTTGAATAAACATTAGGGAAAAAATAACCTCCTTAAGCAATCCCGTTAAGCACCGCTGTTATGCAAACTCGCTGACGCATTTTTTTTAATTGCCAAAGCACACACCTTCGCAAATATGGGGCTGAAATGCTACGTCATTTGCGCATGTGCACTGATGGTTCACCTGTCGGTGCGCTGCGTTTCGAAAAGTGAAGACTTGTTTAACCCCCGTTTATACACCCATAATGTTGACACCTCGGAAAAGGAACACTTGATAAATTATCTAGGCATGACGTACGACATTATTAGAGGAAACCCCTTGGGAGATCCTCTATACGCGGTAGACATGGGGTACAGAAGGTATGTCCTAAGGCATAAGCTAAGTACAGGGAGTGATCAGGATGCTGAACAAAGTGGGCACCCTGTAACAGAGGATCAAATTGGCAATCAGGATGGTTTGTCCTACACAGCCTCCACACGGACGAACGTGAAATGTTCGAGCGGTAAAGAGATACACATAATTAACGGATTAGACGACATCAATAATGTATATAAAAGTTACAAATTCGAAGCGCAATATGATATTCACCCTTTTAACGCATCCAATTATTACAAAATGCTGGTTGGAAGAATTAACAAGGGAGATTCCATAATCATGCAGAAAGAAATTTGTGTAAAGTATATGGTCTCTTTATCAGCAGGGCACGATATGCTGGACCCGTTCTTTCTAAACATGTTGAGTGAACTGGGGAAGAATTACCAGAACATCGGAGGGGACAAGTACAAATGCGATGTGCAATCATACAGAAATAATAAATATAGCGAGGATTGCCTTAAAACGGTTACGCCCTGGATGACATTCTTCAATTTATATGGAACGCACTTCATATCGGGGGTTTACTACGGGGCGAGGGTGATAAATAATTTGTTCGTAGAGAATGACTACCTGAAAAAGGGTGGTAGAAAGATTCGGCTGTACACGAAACGGTTAAACCCGTTTGGCAGTGCGAGTAGAAGGGGACACCACCGTGGCATTTTGTTCTTTGGCTCGGTTATATCGAGTGACAAAGTCAGGCATATAGCTGAACGGATCGTCATGGTCCAAGGGGGTGACGAAGCAGAAGTGGCACCCCCCGCACATACTGGACAAGACAACCCTGACGGAAGACAAAACGGCACAACAAAAATTTCACACAAAAAATGGAAAAATTCTATCAAAGGAAGTTCTGCAAAACCTGTAAAGCTAATTTTGATACCCTTCTCCGATTTTATAGAATCGGCTGATGAAAAGAATGCGTACTATAAGGCCTTGGAGTTTTACTCAAATTTGACTTATACCAATTACAACCCATACCCTTTTCAATTGAACAGAAGCGAAGAGGATCTGGACAAGATGCAGATAAAGAGGTGGAATCAGTATATAGACAAAAATATAAATTTCAATGTTACGCCCAAGTGTAAGACGGGGGAGAAAATCCTCAGCGGGTTCATCATTACAAATAAAAAAAGACTTTATGATGATAATAACGTCATGCACATGTGTCCACTATCTAGAGAATGTTCCAGTGGCATAAATATCGAATCAGACAAAAGTTTTGAATTCGGATGGGTTCTATGTAGTCGAGAAAAACTGCAAGAAATACACCAGATGAAAAAGCTAGTTCAGGGAAATAAACCAGTAATTACATGTCCCTCAAATATGAAAATAGCTTTTGGTTTTTCCTTAACAATGCACAAGGGCGTCCACACGAACATGAAAATCGAACCTTGTAAAAGTAATGTAGCGTCTTGTGGGGTTCCACCCGAGGTGGGAGAAAATTCGCATGGCTTTCTTTGGGTTAACTGTCTACCTAGCAACAAGCGTCTACTACTGGAAACGTTGGAGTCCAAATCGTTTAGCGAAAAAATGCACTTAAATGATAATACCTTGGTTAGGTTGGAGTGCTCACGGGGGAAGTTCATCATTGCGGGGTTCGCAGTCGATTACACTGCGTCGAGCATGGATGATTATCTGATATGTCCCGTGGGAAGTTCCGCCTGTGAGTTGAAGATTCGCGTTCAGCAGATGCGTAGCCAAGAAGTGCATGTGCCGATCATTTTCATCGTCTGTTCGTCTCTCTAAAAGGTGTGGGAGACCATGCAGTGTACCTCTATGCGTTTAGCATAGGATGGAGTGTTTCCTGCGTCGCTGATCTTCTTAGATGATGTTTTCTGTAATATATGTTTTTTTTTTTTTTTTTTACTTTTTCCTTCTTGACTTTTTGCCCCATTCTCCGTTGTCAATACTCATATGATGTTCGTAATTTTTGCTGCACAATTATGGTGTGCAAGTTCCGCGTATGCTCTCTGGCGTTGTTAACTGCTCCGCCCGATCTATTTTTTTTTTTTTTTTTTCCTGCATTGTTTGGTTGTGATTTTCCCCCAGTATGAGACCTAGAATAACACGCAATGACCACGTCAGCTGTCCACAGCGTGGTAACTCAAGCACATGGATTTTCCCCGCACCGCCCGCATTTGAGGACGCGAGTGTGTATGTGAGTACCATGCGAACCCATTTGGTACACGCATGTGCTAACCCCCTTTGTGCGCCTTTTTGGAGGTGTTTTACGCAACCCTGTCCCCTCCTGAATGTCACACAGCTCACACAGAAAAGAGTAAATCCATCTTCGCATTTCTGCGCTTTGCTGGGTGCACGAATACCCAATTGCGGGAAGGATATGATAGGCATAAACAAGGTGTTGTAGGGGCCTCCGCAATACCTCGTGGCCCCAGCTGGGTTAATCACGTCAATGGCCTCAGAGGCGTCCTTGCTCACGATGGGGGAACATACAGAAGGGTTGCATCCGTTGAGGTGCTAAAACGGGGTATCATTTTAATCATTTGCTTAGAATCACCGAAATGGTGAAGCCGTCCCATACATAAGAGAAACAAAACGGGCTACAAAAAAAAAGAAAAAAGAAGCACTACTGAGACGGTTATATCCGCTTCGGGGAACAAATCGTAGCACTTATTGCACTTCTTACCGATCGACTGCTCTAGATGGGTGAACTACACTATAGTTGACGTTGTATTGAGGGAAATCCGCAATCGACCTGAAGTTTTTTTGTTTTTTTTTTTTTTGTGTGACGATATAACTGTAGGGTACATTCACAGTAGGGAGAAAATAATGGGCGGGCAACACCAAAATTTTCGCAGCCCTAATGGCACAAATTTACAAATATGTGTTGATGTACCAACCTTACCCACATTGCTTTCTATTGATGGGGACGCTTTCAGCTCCGAGTAACTGTGTGGAGATATTCCACTGATGTTTACCGCTGCACAGCCAGTAATTTTAGGCACCAATTTGAGCCTTCTTCGGAGTATACTCTCCCTTGTGAGTATGGGTGAAAGTGGGGGTATTCTTCTCACTTAGCTTTTTTTTTTCTCCATGCACAGTTGTGTGAGCTTGAGGGATGGTAGTCAATGATGCCACGAGGTTTGAGGGCGCTTAAAGATCACATTTGGCTTCATCTGATGTGTATAATATCTGTGTAAGGTATCACGTTGGGGGGAGATGTGCGCATGTACACATCCATATACGCATGCAGATAGAGATGTCTAGTGCCCCTCGCCAGTGAGGAAGCAGCAGGGGCAGAGTCCTAAAGGACGTGGAGGAATTGTTGCCTGGGTACTTATTAACAATGGCCTCCGCGAGAAAGAGCACGTCGTTGGTCGTTTATGGATGGTTACGTAGAGGTGGTATGTCCAGTTGGGGGAGCCACATATGTGATGTCGCCAGAAGGTGTGTTATGTGCACTACGGTCCCCCGCGCAAATGCAATAGGTGCAAGAATAGAACGCGCAGCTTCATGCAATTCAATTGATGGAAAAATCACTGAGGAGGAGTTTCTCCCCCCAAGAAAAGCGATCAAGCTGAAGAAGCAAATGGCGCTTGAAAGTGCCAACAAAATAATGTTGTCCAAATTGAACCTACAAATTGAACAACTGGATTGTGAGAAGTTGATGAGATACAAAAATGTAAAATATGCGATAACGCTGCAAGAGAAGAAAGAAATTTTATCATATTTAAATATCTATCTCCTTCGTAACAATAAGGCAAAGTACTACATTTTAAGTGTGCTGATGTTTCGTATTGTGTCTAGGATGAGTACCTATCAAGTGAAAGAGTTGATATATGTTCTACACGCTTACAAGGAAAATAACTTTTTGAGCCCCTTCCTAATGGTACACATTATGACCACATTGAGCAGCGAGGAATTTGCAAAAAAAATGACACTAAATGAATTCCTTCTCCTGGTAGACACCTTGACAATACCGTTAATAATGACAAACGGCTTCGCACAAATGATTCAAAAATTCATATGCAAAAATTTAGGCATGTTTAAATGTAGTGATTACTTTGCGGTTGGGTATTTTTTGGCCAGGAACAATTTATACAACGAATCTGTTTTGAATTTCATTGCCGAGTTTTACAAAAATTTGGCCATTGCAAGGAGGTTGCAAAAGGAGGAATGTAATACCTTTGCTCATTATGAACATGCATTTTACAGTGGGGAATCCAACAAGGGAGTAACGACAATGGATGATACCTTCCTAGCAAATGGGAAGTTAACCCATGTAGGAAAAGACATCCATAAGCATATTTTCATTTTATCAAAATATGGATACAACGATATAGATATGTGTATCAATTTGTTCAGAGTGGCAATCGCGCGATGTGGATCTTTGCGACCGCTGGAAATAAGCTCCATTTTGAAATCGTTGCAAAATATGAAATACTACAATAGCTGCTTATTTAAAGTGTTGGTGGGTAATATTAGGAAGAATTTAAGTCAGTACAAAACGAGTACCCTGATGGATTGCTTAAACAGCTTGTCTTATTTCAACCATGTAGATGATAGGTTGCTCACCAAAATATTAGTCACCCTTCCGAGAAGGATCTCAACCTATACTGCCAACGATTTTACCAAGCTGATATTTTTTATAAACAATTTTACGCGATTCTCCAGTTATTTTATTGTCTTTATAAATAAGCACATTTTGCTTTTTGCGTCAAGTTTTAATATGCTCCATTTGGTAACCCTTTTGAAAATTTTCGCTCACCAGAATTTGATAAGCCAGCCAATTCTTCACTTAATAAATGTGAAGTTGGAGAAATTTATTTCGTCTCACTCGTCGGGAAGTTTGTCGGAAGGCACCTTCATGGGCCAATCGTGTGTGCAGGCCATGAAGGAGGTAAGTTTAAGGAACTTGTTTGAAATTATTCACATTATCAACTTCATGTCAGTGAGGTACCCCCAATTGACGCATAACTGTTTGGAAAGCGCATTCCTCCTTCAAAATGGGCACAAAAATATGCACCCGGAAGAAGTGAAGTGTATGACCTATTGTTGTTGCTACTTCATGCTAGTTAATGATCAATATGGGGACGCTTCGGCTATTCGGCTTCACAAGCGTGTAAGCAATTTTTTTTCCTTTTTGGACTCATCGTTGTTGGGGGGAACCCAAAATGGACAATCGACATGGTACGACGAGAGGGAGGATGCCCTAACTAAAGGACATACGCATTTGAACAAGAATCACAATTTATCACCCCGCGGGGAGTGGATCAATGGGTTGATGGAAGCAAGGGTTACAAGTACGTACCGCAAATCAGATGGCAAAAAAGACAACACGAATGAAGTGAAAAACCAAATGGGGGTAGACATATACGTGATGATAATACGAACGTTTCTCACCGAATTCATATATCACCGCACGAGAGACAAAGTTGAAAATTGTTACAACTTGTGTGGGGAACATATGAAGCGCCTTTTTTTCCACAAAATTGACGCGGTACGGGAATACGAGCATAACGACGGTGTAAACACGCTTAAGAAGTTGTTTCCCCTGATGTATTATCCATGCGTAGATAAAGCCCTCTTGAAGAATGTCCAAATGAATAGACATTTTCTGTCTACCTATTTCGTTGGGCCCACTCGGGAAGACAAAAGCCAACTTAGCCAAAGTGAGCACGTCAGGAGAGAATTTTCGTATCACCAAAAATCGCTCAACGAAATGTACCAAGTTTTGAAAGACCTACCTCAGACGGATTACAAGTTTAAGCTTGTTAAAAATGCCAACTGCAATTCCGTTTTTCTTTACATTCACTACATATTTGCGAAACGTGCGCAGGGCAAAGGCAATGTAGCCATTTTATTTGGAACGCAGAATTACTACTACACCACAGTGGGCGAATTGTACACTGATCTTAATCCCCCTTGTACCAACAATCTGCCTGAAGAGAAGCGCCTGACCAAGGAGGCTATAGCCCAATTGCAATACTTCAAGCTCTTTTTTGACAAGGTATATTTGGTGCCTGCCCACTTATGGCAAAATATGCATGGAGAGGACAAAAGGCGCTTTTTTGTTACCTTGCTGGATTTGTAAATAAGCGGAATGGCCATTTCGAGCGGAAGGGGAGCTGCTCCCAACCGAGTTGTTTCTACTCCGTCTCGCCTAATCCAATTGGTGGTAAGGACGCACACAAGGCTAGCCATATAGACGTGTATATGTGTGTGCAATTTATTTTTTTTTTTTTTTTTTTTTATTATTAACAGTCATAATATATTTTTTGGCTAGCTGCATTTTTCTCTACAGTTGACGCCATTTTAAGGCAACGTTGTTCTGTGCACTCATTTAGCTAGGCTTTTGTTTGTTCTCCCATCATTTAAAGGGAAAGTTGTGTGTAAATGGAAATTACATTTTTTTGCTTGACACATTTTATTTTTCGTTTGTTTTTACTTCATTTTTTTTGTTTCATTTTTTACGCCGTCTTCGTGTTAATATAACTGAGGATACCAAGCGGCGTCTGTCCCGTTTGCGGTTGTAATGTTAAATGCTCCATCATTTAGTTTCTTTGGAGTATATTTTGTAACGTCTTAATTTTAATCTGTTAAGGGCAGCCTGCTTGTGGGGCTTTTATCACATTTACGATATTATTTGCTTTGCTTTTACGCACACGGGGATAACTCCCTCCTCAGCCCTTTCAATGTTGTAACAAAAGGAGCATTTTCAAAATGATTAACCATTTGGCGACGAAACGATTAGGTGCGCTGGTCTACTTGCTCTTCACCTTGTGTAGAAACGCCGAGAGCGGCGATATCGGGAAGATCGAGAGGATCAACACCCCCGTGGACCGCGCCCACAGTGACCATATCGACCGTGGTAGCGATGAACAGTTCAGCAAGTACATAGGGAAAGGGTACGACATCCTGTTCGGCTACCCGCTGCCAAACAACGAGCTTGTGGAAGACCCAGGATTTAGAAACGAAATATTTGACACTAGAAATTCTGTGGACATTATCAGCCAAGTGGCCTGTCACAGAGACGAATATTTCAGCTTCGTCGAAGGGATCAATGATGTTACTCACTTAGCCATGGATAATATAAACGTTGAAAACGTTAATACCAGCATAGTTCCCTTCTCTGCCTCCATGCCATACAAAAGCTACTTTTCCGACTTAGAAATAGGAAGGAAAAAATACCTAGTTGTACAGAACAGCTGTGTGCACAAATACGTCACGTACAACTTAAGAGACACCACTAGGCATATTAATAGAGAGTTCTTACTGGACACGGAGAAATTGCCCATTTTGGAAAAGAAGGTGAATGAAGAGGAATGCATGCAGGGGGGATACCTATGCAGTGAAAGGAAGGGACAGTGTGCAGGAAGCATAAAACTGTGGATTGATTTTTTCCAGAAATATGGAACCCACTTAGTTGTGTCTGCGCATTTTGGGGGGCGGTCCTTCAACTCCTTGGAAGTTTCTAGGCGTACGATGGAAGAAGCGAAGATATACACCTATAAGTACGCCCTCGGGAACGTCTCGAACTTGGACGTATTCAGGGCGGCATGGTTGCTGCAGGGGGGCGCCGATGCCAGAGAAGATAACGGTGGTGACCATATTCCTAAGAAGCCACACAAGCAGCTGCATGATCAGGCACTTAACCAACCTCCCCGCACGAAGGACAACACCGTGGGGGAGAAAATTGCCAGCCTGGACATCCGCGGGGGAAACCAAACGTACAACGGATGGAACCAACTGACGTACACAGTCTGGAAGGACTCCATTTATACCAACCTGCTTCCAGTTCACCTGGACTTAATTTCATTGAGCTCCTTCATGCGTAAGGAAAAAAAGGAATCATACGACAAGGCCTTGGTTTACTACAACAGCCTCTACGGAATGGACAAGGAAAAGTACTACCTCTCACAAGACATTATAGATGTGCTGGCTGATGGGAAACAAATAACAGGATCGGCCAAAGGTTCGCTCATTTTAAGTTGCCCAGTTGGTTATGTTAAGAGCACTGGGTTTATCCTAACCTATGACACATCGGAGAGGCCGAAGGCGAAGGGATCCAAAAAGGGAGACGCAGCCAGAATCCGTGTGTATCCTTGCCTGAACAAGGGGGAGTACGACATTTCATGTTCCCACATAAATGAAAGCGATTCTGTTATTTCCTTCGGATGGCTGTATTGCGCAAAGTACAGTTTTGTGCAGTTCGAAACTTTTTATGCAAATGGAAGTCACGCGCAAGGGAAAAAATCGCTACAGGGTAAGTGCTCAGAGGGAAGTAGCTTAGCCTTTGGATTTAAAATGAAGTTGGAAAAAAATAAAAATTTGACCAGTGTGAAAGTGAAGGCATGTCCCGTTGGTGAAGACAAGTGTGTAATTAGTGATCCGAAGGCCAATTCTGATTACCTACTGTGGGGGTTCTGCGCCCCTTTATCATTTCACAGTATTAACTCATTGCAGGTTACATACATTGAAGAGTCCAACATGATGAACGAAGTGCAGGGTGCTTGTTCCGACATGCACAAAAATAAATACGATGACATATTCCTTGGGTTTTCATTCTCCGTTGACAATGAACTGGGGCGCGTTGAGGTTTCTCCTTGCGCGATGAAGACAAAATCCTGTGTCCACAAAATGAGCACAAGGGCGACGAAGAACTACGCGGGCATGTTCCTGTTGTGCAGAAATGACGGTGGCGCCCGGAGGAAGTTTTCTTCCCCCACGAGGTTGGCGCAGTGACGAAAGGAAGAGGTATATGTGTGCGGAAGCGCAACAACTCGCTTTACACGATGTGATACCGTGGACGGCAGTTATGCAATGAGGTAGAACACACGGAGGTGTCCTCTGCGCGTATTTTTGAGTCTTTCTTCCGCGCGAATACGTTTTTGTGTATCATTTTAGCTTTTCCCCGTTTGTGCGTCGGGCTGATTTTCCTAAGCTCCTGCGCGATGCTATACAAGTTGGTGATTTTGCGCGTTCCTTTTTTTTTTTTTTTTTTTTTTGCCCTTGATTTTGCATCACGATGGCCACCGTCAGGGCGGGTAACATGGTGCTACCGCAGCGGCAGTGATAGCGGCTGTCATAGCGGCAGCGCTTTATTTTCATTCTTTCCTGTCCACCTGCGCGATAACGTTTGATCTGCGTTGTGTTCTAAAGTTTTATAAAACGATCACGGCTGTGTATGTAGCTTTCCTGTGGGTGTGTTTCAACTGTATGGTAAAAATTGCAATCCTCGCCTGTGTAAGGGGGATGCGTTCACCGTTGTGCCGTTCATTTAAGCCTTCACGAGCATCGCGTATGCGCCAGTTACGTGAGCACTATGTGATGTTATTCGTAAGTGTTAATACAGCTTTACCGTTTAAGAGGTGAAATACACCTGGATCGGGGGCGGACCTTTTCCAGTGGTGAAACCACACAGAAATGGAAGATATACGTCTTAGTTTTTGCAACGGCGGGGGATAGAATTCACAAAAAAAAAAAAAAAAAAAAAAAAAAAAGCATTTTTTTT